GTTGTTTTGTTGATAGATATGGAAGTAATGGCTTTGATTAAAAATTGCAGCAGGACAATTCTAGGAAATTCATTGGGAAGAGTGATGCTAGACTTGGAATCATGGAGAGAATATAAGAGACTCCATGCCAACCTGAGTCCAAGAAGCTGCATAAGAAGCGCATTTGTCAGCAGGAAGACAAAAGATTTCTACCCAAAGGCCATTACAAACAAAATCATGGAAAGAGTCCCTGTCAGCTAGTACACCAGTCAGCTTTAAGGTAGTTGTATGAGGTATGATGATAAAGAGATTCTAATGGTGAAAAAGAATTAGATAATAGTTTTAGAGAGATCAAACTGTGATCATAAACACCTAAGGGTGAGAACCTAAGGGTGAATGTGGAGAAACTGAGCACTAATTAGGATCAGAAACAAGACATAAGTTGAGTTAAGAAAATAAATGATTTGAATTGTCTGGAAAGTGATTTGAAAAGTTGACTATTTGTATTAGAAGTTCAGAAAAGCAAAAGTTGTGTGCCTCATAGTCACTGACACTAGAGCCAAACTATTAAGTGTGACAAGGACAATTACCTTATTACTATTAATAAACCCTAAATAAAGGGCCCCAAATGTGGCCTCGACAATCCACACCAAAAGTATGAGCAGGGACACCATCCATGTGCAACATGGCACTGTTAGTACTCTGATATTTACAGCTGTTGATGGAATTAGCCTCTCTGAGAGTTACCACTGAATTCGGGAAACCTGACTACCAGCCAGCATCAGAACCATAAAACTGAGTTTTAGAGATGCACCCTCATTAGGAGATAATAGAATGAATTGCTTAGTCATAAAAACAGAGACAAGCAAAACCCATGCATTGAGTCAAGAAGATCTAGCATTCAACATTCTAAACTGGAAATAATGTATTATAAATACACCTATGCAAGCCTAATAGATGAAGAAGGGGTGCATAGCTGGTTAACAGATAGAGTCTGTTTAGAAGTTTGAACAATATTATCTTTTGAAATATTTTCTTCTGGGGAAAAAAAAAGGATTTAGACATGTCTAGTAGGCCTTCAAGACAATAGCCGAATGCATTTAATGTTTTGCCATCTGCAGATGAGAATCTTTATCAAGACACCATCTCTAGCCTTTACTCAACCAAGAGCCCAAAAGCAGGGGGTATTTTAAGTCAAAGTTGACTTCTCCTAGTCGTTGCCTAAAAAAGTGTATTCTAAAAGGTAGCAGGACAAAAGTCATTTAAGTAAACCAAAATCTTTTACTTGAAACATTGCATCAAGAAGTGTTTAGTGTTTTTTATTAAAGAAGTTTATAAACTTCAAAATTTTTAGTAAACACCTGTTACTATAGAAAATAAAATATTCTTATGTATTTCTCCAAGTGTATGTTTCTGTTAATTTATCAACTTGTTTTATTTTAAGGATGTACCGGAATTCCGGCCGGAATTTGTTCAATTTGCTTCTGGCTGGAATGAAAAAGTTTTTTTATGACATGTGACACAGGCTGTGTAAATAAATCAAAAAATCATTATCTTACAGAGCAATGAAGAACTATAGGTAAACCTAGGTAAAAATACAAATGTAATTTTTGCAAATGTATTTGTAGTACTACTATTTCTGCAAATAAAACTACATTTGTATTTTTTACCTAGGTTTACTATATTATTATTTTATTACTATGTTTACCATGTATAGTTATTTATTGCCGTGTAAGATAATGATTTTTTGATTTATTTACATAGCCTGTGTCACGTCATAATTAAAAAAAAAAAATTTCAGCCAGAAACGAATTGATCTAAAAGATACAAATTCCAGCCGGAATTCCGGTACATCCTTATTTTATTTACAATTGTAAGTAAAAGTTTGACTATTTTATTTTTATAAAATTTACTTATAATTATTTTTAATTATAACTTTTTAAAAATATTATTTAATTTCTTTTATTTAAATAAAATTTATTCAAAATATATTACTAAAACTTATACTTTATTATTTACATTATTTACAAATAAATCTAAACTTAATTTTAAAGATTTGAACTAAAAAAGCAAAAATTAAGATAATAATTCACTAACAACTTATAAAAATAAACCTCCTAAACATAAACATTATCCTTATCATCTTAACATTATCAAAAATACCATAATACCATAATCTTGTTAAGTTTGTGTTTACAATAACAATAATTTTGACAATAACATTACTATAATTACCTTGTACTACATGTTAATTAAAAAATAAAAAAGAACCAAAACTTGGCTGGATAGTCACGTGGCAAATAGTCGTACAAATAACATCTATAAAACATAGTTATTAAAAAACATCTTACTTTCAGTTGGTTATACAACTCCAAAGAGACTGTTGTATTATTATTCAAGTCAACTAGTTCTTTGCTGCTCTACATAAAATAATTAAAATGTTATGACAATATCAATACAAACAAGTTATATTTGAAGAACATGAAAGCAACACAATTAAAAACTTTATTTCTTAGTGCAAAAACAAGCCACACTTAAATTGGGATAGGACTTTAATACATATATCAACTAAGGATTCAGGTTTGGGCAAACCATAGTAATAGTATCTGTTAGAAGAAATCAAACAACTGCAAAAAAAATGTTTATTATTATTTTTAATGTTAATTCATTATCATTATTGTTATTTATTTTAATTCATTATTATTATTAATATTATTTACATTACAATTATTATTTCTTTTTATGTATAAAAATGTCATTACTGTCTAAAGTGCTTCAAAATAAAAAGTGTGAAAATCTATTAGTATGACGCTCACCTAAATCAAAGTAAACCAGTTAATCACAGTAAGTAAATGAACAGTAACAATATGTAACTAAGTAAATAAACAGTAACCAACAATATGTAACTTAGTAAATGAACAGTAACCAACAATATGAAACTTAGTAAATGAACAGTAACCAACAATATGCAACTAAGTAAATGAACAGTAACCAACAATATGTAACTAAGTAAATGAACAGTAACTAACAATAATTTCATAACACAGTAAAGAAACAAATAAATAAGTTAATGAGTAAATAAATAATTTTACTTATTTAAAATTAAATATACTTGCTTTCAGTTTTGCTTCTAGTTCATATATTTCTTTATCTCTCTGATTAATGTCTTCTTCTAAACTTAAAATGTGTTCTTCTAACATTTCAATATGTTGTTTAGCAGTACCTGTAAATTTATGAAAATTCATATTTTTTATCGATTTGAAGAAAATTTTTCTTTAAGTTGCATAATAACTAATAAACACTACATTAAAGAACATTATATAGAATAACATAACTTTAACCATTTAGCCTTTAAAATTAGTAAAGCATTTAATTTATTTAAAATTAACAAAGCATTTATCTCAAAAGTTATGTGTGCATAACTAATTTAAAAACTCTCAACAATAAAGTCAACAATACAGATAAACTTAAAATAACCAATATCATAAAACATATTTTGTTCTTCAAAATTATTACCAAGGCTTTTCTTCCTATATCCAGTTGAAGAAGTGAATTCGTCACTGTCACTATCTCCATTATTATTATTTTCGTTGTTTTTAACTTCATTCTCACTTTTTCCATTAATATTATTTTCGTTGTTTTTAATTTTATTCTCACTATCACAAATATCTTCAGCATTTTCTGTAATCTTGTTGTTATCTTTATGGTTTTCAGAATCTTCTAATAAATCTTCAGAGGTAAGAGGAAATTCAGGTGTTTGAATATTATTGTCTTTTGAAATATTTTCAAGAATATTGTCTTTTGAAATATTTTCTTCTGGGAAAAAAAAAAAAAAAAGCATGAAATTTTTATTAAAAGTAAAATTTCTGAAATTTAAAATATAAATACAACATAATAAACATTTTTGCTATTAAAGTAACAGCTACAGCTACAACTGTGCTAAAATAAATCCTACTTTTTAAAACACCAGAATCAAACAAGTATTATTATATTTACCATTAGCTTTTTTGGGGGACAATTTAAGTTTTAATTGGGTTTTACTATTATAAAATATTTATTAGTAGTAAGTATGACTAAACGGTCAAATTTCTTTGCCATTTCTAGTTGAAAAACTTTTATTTTAAAGCAATTAAAAGAAACATTACTAAAGCTTAACTTTTGCTGATGAATAAATATTAGTAAATGTCATAGAGATGAAATGATAGACCTTTGCTAATAACACTGTTAATAAGTTTCTAGAACCTTTTGAAAACTTCTGAGATAATATACAAGATTTAGTCATCTGTGAACAATGGGCCCTGATGTCAGTTACTAACTTTTTGCATCAATTTCTTGCATCATCTATTCTTAAGAGCGACTTTCTGTAAGAATCAGCCCAAAATACACTTTTTTAATAGTAACCTCTTTTAAAATAATAATAAAATGAAATAATTATGAAAAAGTATAGAAAAAAACTTGGTTTTTAAGTTTTCTTATAAGTATGTTTTTATTTTTACGTACTATACTAGATAAAGATTTATAGTAATAATAAAAAAACTATGAATTACTTGCAACTTTAGGTGAACATAAAGATCAAAAATGACAAAAAAAATTAATTTTTGAGTACTTTTGAAGTATGATATTTAGACAAGCCAAAATGCTTACTGTACCTAAATTATTATTAATAGTTCATTAACATTTTGTCATTTTTGGTTCTGAACTAACCATTGAAAAATAAGTGAAATACCCATTAAAAAGTATCTACTTTGTTCTATTTTGAAGTTTAAAAATGGTATTGACTATATTTAGTCAATATTTCTAAAAATTTAGTTAAACTTTGAAAATTAATATCTAGAGAACTGATAGTTCTCTAGATATTTTTTAAACATTTTTTAAAAATTTAACTTCTAGTATCAATATTTTTATAGTATAATTATACTAAAAAAATAGGAATATTGAAGGTCACTATTGAGCTCTGCCTGATTCTTACAGAAAATTGCTCTTAATAGAATTTTTCTTATGAAAAAGATAATTGTAATGATAGCAATTGGAAATGGCAACAGTATATGTCCATTCTAATCATGTGACTATTGAAATCTTTGCAAATCAAAGAGTAATATCCATCAACACAGAGATTCAAACATTAAACTAACAAATCTCAATTATTCACATAAAAAAGCAAGTCTGGTGAATTTTAAAAGAATATAAAACTACAAAAGACTTTAAAGACCACAAATACTTGTAACAGATTGAATAGTTTGGTAGCAAAGTTAGGTTTAAGTTAGTAAATTTAACTTTATTGATTAGCTCTTTATGTGGTCTTAACAATTTACAAAAAAAAAATAATAACAGAAACACCATCCATGAACATCATGGCAGTGTTAGAACCCTGATACTTTACAGCTGTTACCTAAAAAATTACTAAAAAAGCACTATTTTAAAAGTAGAAGAAAAAACTAATTGAAAAATTGCAACATGCAATCATGATTGGCAACATGTTAATTTCAATGAGTTGCAACATGCTTATTTCAAGCCATGGCACTTAATCATCAAAATATAAAATACCATAATAAAGTCTTATTTGAAATAGTTTGGTTTGTGAGTTGTTCTTTTGAGTCTTTTTCTTTGCGTGTTATAATTTCTGTATTATTTATTTCCTATATTTCCAAATTTTCAGATTAGTTTAATTGATTTGTATAAATTCTTTTTCACAAACTTTTTTCTTTACTTCTAAACTATTTAACTATTAATGTAAAATGTTGAAAAATTTTTTTGAAGGCTTTAATCTAAGATTGTGTGTATTATTTTATACTGGAATCATCAACCAAAATTATCCTAGTAGCAAGCAATATGAGCCTTGGTAATCTTTTTTTTTTTTTTTTTAACCACTAATTAGTGTTGGAAGTTACTGGAAGAGAAAAGATGAAGATTGTAGAGCAAGATAACAATTGACAGACGACTTAAAAAATTGCAAATTATATGAATCAGGAAAGCAAGATGAAGGAAGCAAATTCCAAAGAACTGATGTTCGAGGAAAAAAACTAGACGAATAAGAGTTTTTGGAGCACTTAGGAACAGTAACAGAAAAAGGATGAGACTTAATTAAATGACAAGTAACACGAGAATGAATTTTTGTAGATGGCACAAGAGACACTAGCTCTTTAGAGCAGTGCCCATTAGAGTATTTGTAGAAAAGAGAAAGAAAAGCAACATTACGACAATGTGACAGAGGTTAAAGGTTGGCAACATTACGACGATGTGACAGAGGTTGAAGGTTGTCTCAGCTTATATGAAGTAAGATTTGGGTTACTGCACCAATATTGTATAAATGTTGGGTAAACTGTCCTATGTAACAATGTATAAATGATGTTGGATTGTTAGAAGCACTCCAATATTGTCAAACAATTGCAGCCAGTAATGACTAATATTTTCAGCCTGATATTAACGCTGAAATAATGAAGCTATGCAGGTATTTGTATACATATATAAACAAATCAAATAACTATGAGGCCATTTTACCATTTAGTGATCAAGTACCATAACAAAAACAATTTAATAAAAAGTTACAATTTTATTTAATCAGGTGTAGATGAGGTCATTAATTAATGACCTCATTATAGAAAACTAATAGGTGAGGTCATTAATTAATGACCTCATTATAGTAAACTATTACTTCTATAGTATTTATGTTTTATAAAACAAAAAAAAAGTTTTGTTGATCAGTTTTTTATGAATAATAAACTTTTAATATGTAGTTGAATGATAGTATATATTGTTTCAAGTGTTTTAGTTATTGGAAGCATATTGAATATTAGAGATAAACCTAAGAAATTGAATATTAGAGACAAACCTAAGATATTGAATGTTATTTGATTAAAGATAAAGATTAAAGATAAAGATTATCAAATGAATTTGATGAAGAAATTGTTCAGAGAAAAACCTAAGAACTTAAAGATAAGTACAACTATAAGGTAAAAGCTTTTAAAGTTTATAAATAATGACCAAAACCCAAAGAAAACTGATTTAATTCAAATAATTCTTACTTTTAAATAGTGATTATGAATAGAAATTTCTTTAATTTTTTTAAACAAATTTACGGATTTAAAAATTTTTCATTGCATATTTTTGAAAAATTTATTTATATACAAATATTCTTAAGTTTCACAATTTAAAAAAAAAATCATACCTATTTTACCATTTTCAAATACAACTTGTTTACTAACAAACTTTTTGCTATTCATCTAATACAAAAAACAAAACCATGCAACAATAATAATAATTATTATTACTATTCTATTAAAATAACTTTTTATGAACTAAAAATATAATATGATATTACATATATACATGTATATATAAATATATAAATATATATATATATATATATATACATATATATACACATACATATATATATATACATAACACACACACAGACACATATATATATATACATATATATACACATATATATATATGTGTGAATATATATATATATATATATATACACACACACACACACATATATATATATATATATAT